AATAGCTGGGACTACAGGTGCCTGCCACAATGCCTGGCTATTTTTTTGTTGCAGTTTGGCCAGGTTCGAACCCGTCACCCTTGGTATATGGGGCCGGTGCCCTACTCACTGAGCCACAGGCACCACCATATTCCATTATTTCCTACAACACTGAAGTAAATGTTCTTGTTCTTGTCAAAAAATGAAGGAAGCAAAGATGAGTGTTATCGGGGAGCCTGTATTCATTGATCAGTGGTGTTCACAATTCACTTTGGTGACAATATGTTCTGAGGAGCAAACAACTGGATTGTGGGACAGACCATCTGAGGTTGGGACTCTGGAATGTGAGAGCAGTCACTGTTGCTGTCCGTTCCGTGCTTCCTGCGGGCCAGGCCCTGTGCTAAGTGCTTTAGCTGAATTCTCACAGAAACCCTGTGAGGGAACTACTGGTTCCCAGCTGAGGAAACTGAAGCACAGAGAGATTCAGTATCTTGGCCAAGACCACACAACAGTGGTTGAGGAGGAATTCCAACCAAACCTGGGTCTGTCTGACTCCACTGCGCATATGTTAACCAGAGCAGAACAGCTCTGGTAACATCCCCTAGATCAGCCAGGGCACAAAGGCAGGGAGCCCAAACTGGAGGCTGGGGGAGGTACTTCCTGAAGGGGGATGCCCCTGGCCCAGAGAGATGAGGAGCCCAGTGGGAGGACTTCAGGAGGAAGGCTGGCAGACTGAGCCCCCCTCTCCCTTCATTCACTGATTCCTGATGCCTCCCTGATCTGTCAGGGTCCATCTTTCTTCCTAATTCTTTTCTTTTTACCAGCTTACTCTTGGGTTATCTTTTCTCTATCCTCCAGTCATTCACTCATCTGCTCATTCATTTGTTAATTCATCCATTCACAGACGAGCACCAAGTGGAGCCTGAGTGAGGCAGTACTTAGAATCGGTGGTGAGGGCATCCACTACATTCAATTCAACCCTTATGAAGAGCCCCTGAAACCTGTCTTCTCCATCAGACACACCCAGAGACAAAACACACCCTTAAACAAACCCAGCAACTTGCTGAAAAACACCTGGAGGCCGTTGCAGCTCTTGAGCACCCCCTGCTGGTAACTTGGGATGTTACATCCTGGGCTTCTCAGGCCCAAGCCAAAGACAGTAAGAAGCAGAGTGAGAGTTTGTTTTATTGAGAAGCGGGGCACAGGGGTGCTCTATAACATATATGTGCATCATGTATGTGTGTGCTCTGATGTTCTGTCTGTGCTCTGATGTCGTGCATGCGATGAGTATGTACATGGCGGTGCCAGGGTGCAAATTCTAAGTGTGTGTTGGGATGCCACTGATCCACAAGGAGCAGGGCTATGCCAACCTACTCCCTCAAGGCCATGGTGGCCCAGAGGCTGAAGAAAGAGGCTAACAAATCTACTTTTTTAAAAAGAAATTTTTTTTCTTTTTTTTTTTTTATTAAATCATAGCTGTGTACATTAATGCAATTGTGGGGGTACAATGTGCTGGTTTTATATACCATTTGAAATATTTTCATCAAACTGGTTAACATAGCCTTCAAAAAGAAAATATTTTCTAGGGACTTATGAACAGAAACAATGTCATGGGCGCTGGAGAAATGGTGGGATCCCTGCACCCAACCTCCGTATATAAATACATCCTTTATATAGCAAACTTTTAGGGTAAACCATGTGAAGCTAGTCATGTCTCTTTCTTGTTGAAACTCATGACCACTGGGGAGATTAGATAAGCATCTTTATGAAGGTTTTTTTTTATGCTATAGGCATTGTCTTAAGTCCTTGCCAAAAAAAAAAAAAAAATACTTTGGTATGCAGGAGTCAAACATGGGTCATCATGGCAATTTCCCTTCATGATGACATCATTCTTCCCTGGCAACAGGCTGTTTCCCTCCAAGCATACTTTAAGCATGATGGAGAGTTGCCTGTGCATACTAGGTGTTCTCTGAGCGTACTTGTGGGAAGATATGTGTGCAGCCTCTGACTCTGAGCTATTGGCTCCCAGGGCTCCTGAGTAGGATCAGGCCCCAGTTGTCCATTGATGCTCCCTCTCTTGGCTTCCTTCCCTTTTCTGTCTCACTTCCCCACTCCTGTACATGTGTTTCTTGGGATCTCTTCCCACACTCAAATCCTGCTTTGCTCTCTGTTCCTGGGACAATGAAGGAGGCAGTCTAAGGGGAGAGGCCAACACACTGAAGTCAGCAGAGCACAAAGATGGCAAGAGCCTGGGCCCACAGTAACACCACTGTGCTGCTGAATGAACTGACTGGTGGCTGTCCTACACTGATGTGAGAAAACCTTACCATTTAAAGCTTTTTTTTTTTTTGAGACAGAGTCTCATTTTGTCACCCTGGCTAGAGTGCCTGGCATCATAGCTCACAGAAACCTCAAACTCTTGGGCTCAAGCAATTCTCTTGCCTCAACCTCCCAATTAGCTGGGATGACAGGTGCTCACCACACATCTGGCTAGTTTTTCTATTTTTAGTAGAGGCCGGGTCTTGCCCTTGCTCAGGCTGGTATCCAACTAACTCATGAGCTAAAGCAACCACCTGTCTCACCTTCCCAGAGTGCCGGGATTACAGGTGTTAGCTACCACACCTGACTTCATTTAAGGCTATTTTAATAGGATCATCTGTTACTTGGTGCTGAAAGCTTTCTAAGAACATAGCATCCTACAGGGACATATTCCATATGAAGCATGATGGGTAGGTCGGCTGAGAGTGTGTGTGTGTATACAGTGGTGGTATGTGCGTACGGTGTACATTGACACCTATTTTGTGAAGGCCTGTGGAGTGGCTATCCATCTGGGACACAGATTTGAGTGGGTGTGTTTGTCCATGTCTTACCTTGTCCGTCCTTCTTTCAATTCCACATTTTATCTCTCTCAAGCACCTCTCTCACCCTCAGCCCATCAGCTTCTCTACTATCCCCACCTGGGTACCTGGACCACCTCTGTAAAAGCCCTGCTAGCCGCCCTGAGGCTATTCTTACTCCTCTTCTAACCATTTTCCACTCAGAAGCCAGATCTACACTTTGAAAACATAAGTTGAATCATGTTCTCCTGTTGAAAACCCATCAAAGGCCCCTGCTGCCCTGGGGCACCTGCCCTATAGGTGTCTCTGGCCACATCTCTCCCCTCACCTGCTATAGAAACGCCAGCCCAGGCTGGGCATGGTGGTCATGCCTGTAATCTCAACACAGTCAGATCCTGTCCCAACAACAGCAAAACAGAAGCTCCACCCCCTTAGACTTGTTCTTTAGTGATGGTCAGAAACAGTCTAGACTTCCCAGGCACCTATGACAGCAGGCTTCCAGCAGGAGATTGGAGGGTGGGAAGAAAAAAGAAACCAGGGTATGTCTCTCCCTACACTTCCTTCTTGGCTCCCATTGGACCGGCCTGGGTCAGGCTCAGCTTCTGCTAAGTGAGTCCAGCTACCAGCACCGCCTCCCCCTATCTCACCATCCTGGGAGGTATCTGTGGCTAATCTCTGGTTTCCCCCATCTTCTCAACTGGCTTCTCAGCGATTCCCTCACTTGGGTAGCCAATCCTGTCCTCCCAATAGAAGGATTGAACGCCTTCCATTTCAAATACTTAAGACTTCTGTTTTCCGATTTGACCTTGACTGACACAGGCAGCCTTCTGGTTGAAGGAGGAAGCCAGTA